TTCTAAAATTCTTGGAAAATTATATTTTTACCCATAGTATTCGTAAAGCGATCAGGACGGATCAATATTCTGGTTTTAAAAATAAGTTAGTAGATCAGTATTGCAAATGGAAAGTTATTAGAACAAAATTCAGCGAAAAAACAACATTCAGATTAGAGGTAACTGAGCTCAAAACTCAAGAGGAAAATTCAACAACCGACCTAACAATACTCAACAAAGAGATAGCAAATCATGTTACTTCTGCGGGAAGGAATTCTCTTCGAATCATAAACTTTCATGTCCAGCAAAGAATGTGATATGCAAGAACTGCAACAAAAAGGGCCACTTTCCCAGATGCTGCAGTTCAAGCACAATGTAGGGATTGTAGATGATGATTCTGAAATTACAGCCGAAGAGGAACGCGACTTCATTATCTCGGTTAGTGAACCGAAATACTCAGTATTGAACCAATCTTCTTCGGTCGTAAAAACCAACCAGGGCCATAAACTTGAATATGCAGTCAAAAAACAAGAAATCATTAAATCCGCTACGGGGAAAACGAGATGTATACAGTTCACGTTGAGAGTCAACAAAACACTTTTTTTAGGCTACCATAGAAACAGGTAGTCCAGCATCTTATATCAACAAGAAAACTGCAGATATTCTGATGAACTCGGGTGCTAACGTCAAATTACTTTAAACTTCGGAACTGCCCATTGATACCCACTATGTCGATTACAACAGAAAAACAATCAAGTTATTGGGTACCCCAAAATCAGAGGTATCTTCTCTAGGTTGGCAGATAAATTCTGCGAAACTTCTGGTCTCTGAAAATCGCACCAGATGCTTACTGGGTCCGGATCTTCAAAGTTTCTTGGGGGTCCAAATCACCCAAACAAGACCAACTCCTATCAATGAAATTTCATCTTCACCAACCGACTCAGCCAAAAGGCAGAACTATTTTATGAGCAAATTCAAAAAGATTTTCACTAGACAGGGCAGATCAAAAAACCACCGACTACATTCAGTACTTATGGACCCTTTAGTTCCCATCCAAGAGAAAGGTCGTAGAGTAACATTACACATCCAAGACAAAGTGGGCTCAGAAATCAAGAAACTCATCATAGGAGGACACATCGTAAAGTTGAATAAATGCACCAGCGATTATTTTGTAGCACCTGTAGTTATAACAGCTAAGAAGGATGGATCCATAAAATTTGCTTTGGACGCAAAATCAATGAACGCTCAGATATTCAAAAACCAATATCAAACGCCCAACCTTCTGGAACAATTGGACGTTGCCGCCCAAATCATCAATACGGATAACCAGAGGGAAGTTTGGTTCACATCTCTTGATTTAAAATCCGCTTTTAGCCAACTTTTACTCAATGATGTAGTCAACAGTCATTGCAGTTTTAGTATTGTCTGCGAAGAATCAACAGGCACTTATCGTTTTAAAACAGGGTTTTAGAACTTAAACCTTTATTAAGTTCTTGGTCACCTGCAAAACTTTTTTTAACAAGTTTTCACGTTTTGACCGAAAAGTTCAGACGCTCTTTAAAAATGAACAATAAGCAAAAAATTGTATGAAGAACGGAGAACAAAAGGTATTTGAAGATACACTTCTTCTAGTCTCAAACATACCAAAATGTACCATTACGACCAGAACAGAAACTCCAGGGTGAAATGTGACAACAGCCATAGCGGGCTAGGCGCAGCTCTGGAACAAGAATTACCGGATGGTTCCTGGGTACCAATAGGTACCAATATCATTCGCCTCGAAATTCCTGAATACACAGGAAAAAATATTTGGTACCAATGAGTTAGAATTACTCGCAATAGTTTGGTCATGCGAACTTTTCAGGAACTACTTATTGGGGAATAGATTTAATATAGGTACTAATTGACAACAAAGCTATCATATCCGCCTTCCAGTCAAATAGAGGCAACAAACCTTATCAATCTCGGTTGACCAGATGGGCAGACAGACTTTTACCGTTCGACTTTAAAGTTACACATATTGCTGGCACAAAATTAGGCATAGTCGATTATTTTTCACGCCACCCTTCTTTCGAAGCCCCCCAACCTTTCATTTTTAGATATGTCGAATGCTACAGACGATCCTATCATGGAAGAAAGTTTCCGGAGGTTGCTGAACGAACTCGCTCCTCTCAGCAGAATTCCTTTAGGTCGCTCAAGACCAGCTCACAGACAAGAAGCATGGCGGCCGAGAAGAAGGCGGCCGCCGAAAACTCAAATATGCTAACATAATCGCGAATTTCTGAAAACAGAGGACGATCAAAACTAAGCGACCAACTAGACAAGAGAACCGAGTTTCGATTGGGCAAGGAATTGTCGCCAAGGACAAGAAAGCTCTCCCGGACCCAGTAGGAATTCTTGACGCCGAACTTCTCAGTGAGCTGACTTACGAAGATGCGACTCTCAGACTGATGAAAAAAGCAATTAGGAACAGGGACTACGAAGGCTTCGCCAGGATAGACCCCTACATTAGGATCTTTTGGGATTTGGCAGCGGTGGTTGATGGCTGCATAATCATAGACAACAGGAATCCGATTCCGAATTGCCTTCAACGAGCAGTTTCATCGCGGTTGCACCGATCGCACCCAGGACATGAGGCGATGGTTGACACAGCCCAGTATCTGTGGTGGCCAAGAAATCACAGAGATTTTGTCAACCTCTGCAAAAACTGCAGAGAATGTACAAAATTTTGTAAGAATTTAAAACCAATGAGTCAATTTAAAATATACAAGTCACTTCTTCTTTTAAATGCTCCCAACGAGGAACTTCAGTTAGATTACACGGGTCGGGTGCAGACGGTGCAGGTAACCAAGTATACATCCTGGAAGCTATCGACCGCTTCTCCAAATATCCGTCTGCGATGCTTACCAAAACGACTGGAGATAAACAAAATTCTAAAATTCTTGGAAAAATAAGTTTTTACTCAAAGTATTCGTAAAGCGATCAGGACGGATCGATATTCTGGTTTTAAAAATAAGTCATAATATCAGTATTGCAAATGGAAAGGCATTAATCATATTTTTGCTCGGTCGGAGATCACCCTGGTTTGGGTCTGGTAGAGTGATCTATTCTGACGATTAAAAAAAATTGGGCACTTTACAACTAGTAAAAAAAACCACCAGATTTTCATACGGCTCTTAAGATGATTATCGAAGATATCTGGATAACGAAGAATTCAGTTACTGGTCTATCTCCGTTCGAATTACACTTTGGCAGGAAACCAAACTCTGAGTAGTCACTAGCGACCGATAATCTTAAATCTAAAATTCTTTTAGACGAGCAGAATTAGGAAAGAGACCTGTTGACAGTCAAGAAGAGAAGAGAACTATGTGCCAGCAGGCCTCGCGTCAAGGTGGTTAAGAAGGGCCACCAAAGCAGGAATGTCTCACCCCAATTCAAGATGGAATCCACCCAGATTGCAAATACATACTACAAATCCCTGGAACATCTCGCGAAATCGGCGAACGAGTGGATGATCTGGAAAAGGAAACTCTCCCATGAAGAGGGTTGCCGAGCTCTCCGTACTTTGACTGAGAGAAACCAGCTCCTAGCGGCCTCCCTCAGGAACAACGGGGACTCTGAATTTCAGACAGGACGCATTAGACTCGCCAGCAACTAGTACCAAATTTAAACTAGAGTCATTGCTTTCATCTAGTCCGAACTCAGTTGAAATAATCGGGAAAGTGGCGAATCGTAAATCGGGGAAACAATTTTTAAAATGCTTTGGGGATAAAATTATCAGAGTTACTCTTTCTACTTATATTACGGAAGCGGGGAAAGTAATTAGGAAAAAAGATATTTCGCTAAGACTTAAAAATCCACAAATTTCAGGTCGCCAGGGACCCAGCAAACCACTTTTGGGGAAACAGCTGGAAAGAGAGAGCAAATTATCTTCCTCGTCATCTTCAGACGAAATTCTGGTTCCGAGAGCGCAGGCACAACAGAAACAATTGGCAGCTACGACTAGACTGGCAGCCCAACCCTCATGCTCGAAAGCCATTCCTATATCTGTCAAACTCGATAAAAAGGTCAGATACGACCAGGAGGGTAACGATACAACCAGGCGCGGAAGTAGTATCGGACGCAACCGGATTACAACCGGTTTCATCTCAAGACGATCATGTGACAGAATCAAATGTCACACCGCAGTCCTGCCCCTTGACGATCGTTAAGCAAACTCCAGAAAGCAGCCCCACTAAGTCGCTTATTTCACCACAGAAGATATCTACTGAGGCTACAGCAGATCAAGATGGGAACGAATCTTCCTCCTCGAGAACCTCGGGCCGCAGTAAAAGACAAAAACATTTTTATGGCAGTCCCATACCACATGCGGTCAAAGAAGTCTCGGAAGCATCTACACCAGGCTTTTCGGGTGGTCTGACGGTTCCGGTGTCTCCTTCAGGGTTATTTTTGTCACCATCACCAAGAAGAAAAGTGAAAGTATTTAAAAAGAATAAAGTGCAGTCTCAAAAGTAGAAGATTTGGTAAAACACACTTTAAACTCACACCTGAAACTAAACTCAATTTGTTTATTTCAACTTATGTTGATCAGATATTTTTGAAGGGGGGAAGTGTGGTACGGCGGTTGTGCTGCCTCCCATTGTGTAACGTTGTATTGTGTATTGAATTGATAGAGGTCATAATGTTAGTCTGAGTGAGTTGATGTTATTATGTCAAGGCCGGTACTTGCCGACCGTGTTAATGTTTTGTGTTGAATGAAAAATCGCTCTCTCGTTATCTGATGAAAGATACAGATATCTCAATATTCTTTATTCTAACAATTCACATCTTATTACAATTACTTTTTTCGGTTGACATTCCACAGTCGTCAGGGAGTCGATTCCCTGAAGTGGGGGGAGGGGGGGGGGGCGTTGGGCTAAATTTTATGTCGTAACAACATTTCCAAAGCTACTAGTCACTGATGTTGCCACCAACCTGGCTCATACTATACTGGCTCAAACTATACAACACCAATGACTTACCCTGAGGTTCTCGCCGCCGCTGTGTCCCTTGAGCTGTTTGGCCATCATGGCCAGGAACTCGTCGAAGTCTATCTCCCCATTCCCATCTACATCTGTCTCCTCCACCAGCTTCCGCAACTCCTCCTGCGAGGGATTCTGGCCCAGAGATCTAAAAGGAGACACACAAGCAAGAGTAACAATTTCACGACGACATAGTTTCTAAAAACTAAGGAATAAGAGGCAGGGGCGGATTTAGGGGCCCCTCAGGTATTCGATCCCATCACCAACCAAAGGGTCACCTTTCGTATTACTTTATGACATCCATTTTAGGCCGACCAACCCAAAAAATTTTTTAAAAGCGCCTTTGGCGCCAATAATTATCATTTTTGAAGGGGGAGCGCGCGCCAAACAAACGCATGTTTTTGCCGTAAAAACGGCGTGTTTCACAACTGTTTTTTCAAAAATTTGCCCGCGACCCTAAATTTTTGGTCAAAATAGGGTCTTAATAATGTTCTGGGACTACTCGGAAAGTCAATTTGGTCGACCTAAAAATATTAAGGTCGACAAAAATTCTCGAAAACTTTTTGAGAATCCGCTCACCCCCCTCGAGAAAATCCTAAATCCGCCCACGATAAGAAGCTTAATTTTTTTTGTTCTTTAGTCTAATTACGAGAAAATAGGTTGTGGTTTGTCAGGGGCGGATTTCGAGGATGGGCATTTTGATTTTTATAAAACTTCAGACCTTCATAAATGGAAGAGCCAAACGTCGATAGTAGTTTCAATAAAAAGGCATTACTTCAAGGTCGGAATTAGGGAAACGGGGGAAGAAGAGCTTGCGCCTCTTCCTTCAAAAAGCTCTTTTACCATTATTTTGTAGTGTTGTGTTTTTTCAGAGCAGATTCTACGACGCAAATTACTTTGACGCAAATTACGTTAAAACATCATTTTTTTTCAACAAAATCGAAATTTTGCTTTAGGCAACAATCAACAAGAGAGACTAAACATGGCAGTCATTTGGATCAAAGTATAAGTTGCTTGCCTCATAATGGTTCCTAGTTCCTTGGCGGTGATGGTCCCGTCCCCGTCCTTATCGAACAACTGGAAGGCGGCCTTGAACTCCTCTACCCTGTCCTCACTCAGTCCATAGTTGTTGTCCTTATTCGGAATCGACGAGCTCTGAGCTCCACTAACCTTTAGTATAAGAAACTCTCGGTCCGTATAAAAGATATCCGAACTTTGGCATACACAACTTATGCAACGAAAAAGGGTTTAAAAGGCAAGACTGCTCGTATCAAGGCAAAACCTGACTGCCTTTTAAGGTCTATGGAGCAGTGTTTACTTTAAAAAATATTGAACTTTTCAAAAAGAAATGAAAAAGAGAATCTAAGAAATTTGAACCATTTTTTTTTCTTCTAAAAATCATCCCCTCACACGCCATATAGAGTACACGTGATGGATTTCACTCCTAGCAACGTAGCATTTATGACATATAGCTTGCTTCAACCAAATTGGAACGATTGCTAAGACGGACAATACCTTCCCAATGCCATAAAAAAATTCCAAAAAATATTGCTAGTTTAAAATTTGATTTTTGTCTGGAGAAAAAAAAACCACCCCGAGCACAAATATTCCGTCACTTTGTTCAAAAGTTAGAACAAAAATTCATCATGAATCTCGCTTTTCTCAGAATAAATTCAGCACATACACCACTGGGCAGTGTATTAATGCGGCGAACAAGCTATTTTATTGTCATGCTGTAAGAAAAGGTGTTGGAATAGTTTTAAGCCTTTCAAATATTTTTAGAAATGAGCTTGCAAGAGTTTCTTGGTTGAAAAATAAAAAAATATTTCATCAACTGGGACATCAAGTCCGGTAAAAATTTCACCATAAAATAGAAACTGTCGTATTGCTACAAAAAGTTGCTGTTTCAAAACAAAAAGTACACTAAGAAGATGACATCCTGCACTAGAATTTTATGGGAATTAAACAATTTGAATGGACTATATCGTTAGCAAATTTATACAAGACTGCTCGTATCAGGGCGAAGCCCTGAATGTTCCGACTGCCTTTTAAGGTTTATGAAGCCGTAATAATATTTAACAATTCAATGAAATGAAACAAAATCAAGACTGCTCGTATCAGGGCGAAGCCCTGAATGTTCCGACTGCCTTTTAAGGTTTATGGAGCCGTAATAACATTTAAAAATTCAATGAAATGAAACAAAATCAAAAAAAAATTTCTAAAATTTGAATTTTTTTATGAAAATCATCCCCCCACACGCCACAAAAAGTACAAAAGGATCGTTTTTGCTCTTTGTAACAAACCAATTATGGCACATAAGCTTCTTTTAACCAATTTGGAACGATTTCTAAGACGGATTAACTCTCCGCTTACGCGTTAATAGCGCGAAATATATCGCGCGTTAATTGTCCCAAATTGGCCTGAAATGGCAACCTTTAAATCCGTAACTTTACGAAAAATGATCACAGGTGAAATATCTTTTCAAATTTGAGCTCAGGACAACAATACCTTTTGAATGATGTAAAAAAATTCCGTCAAAAATGGCTAGTTAAAAAGTCGAAATTTGTCTGAAGAAAAAAAAACCCACCCCGAGCACAAATATTCCGTTACTTTCGTATCGAAAGTCGGAACAACAATACAATCAATGTTCACAGCACATTAACCATGAGAATGGAATTTTAGAGGATTTTGATTGGTCATCTTCATCTTAAGAATCTAGGGGAAATTAATTATAGTTCATTATAACCATTTAACATCCAAATTTTCAATCTAATTGTTATATTTTTGGTCATAAAGTTATTGTAAATTGGAGGAAAGACTGAGAGGCACTCGATAGGTACTTAGCATAGTGATAAGAAGTTCACTTTCAGATCCATGGCAAAGAAGATCACTTTCAGATCGTGCCATGGCAATGATAAGGCGTGACGAGCTATCACTTGACCTCTAGCTTCAGGTCTACCTCAACCTGACAGATTTTGGCTTCAATAGTGGTACCACTTGAAGGCCTTGAGTCGAAAAAAGAGCTTCGCTCTCCAAAATAACTCAGTCTCGAATCTTGAGAAAAAAAAAACCAGCGGACTATCCGTCGACAACACTTTTAAGACCTTCTGATAGCTCCTAAACGATTAACAGGAATCACACTATAATGAACTCGCCATTTGATTGTAAAACGCCTAATTTTAATTTTTGTTCCGACTTTTGTAAGAAAAGTAACGGAATATTTGTGCTCGGGGTGATTTTTTTCAGACAAACTTCGACTTTTAACTAGCAGTTTTGACGGAATTTTTCTATATCATTCAAAAAGTATTGTTGTCTTGAGCTTAAATTTGAAAAAAAGCATTTCACCAGTAATCCTTTTTCTTTCCGTTTTGGGGGTTTAAAGATAGCCATTTTAGTCAATTTGAGACAATTAACACGCAATACTTGTTGCTATCAACGTGTCAGCGGAGATTTAATCCGTCTTTGAAATCGTTTCAAATTCGTGGAGGAAGCTTGTGTGCCATAATTGATTTGTTACTAGCAGCAAAATCTATCAATTTGTACTCTAAATGAAGTGTGGAGATTCACAAAAAATCTCAATCTAAAAAACATCTTTTTATTTTCTTACATTTAGTTTTTTCATGTTATTACTGCTCCATAGGCCTTGAAAGGCAGTCGGAGCATTCCTTTTGTTTTTCTTTGGAATACAAAGTATAGTTTTTCACTAGATAAGAGCAAATGATCTTAACAACTTTCTACTAAAAAATCTACAATTTGTTTCAACGACCTACTCTTTAAATCTGGGTCTTAAAGTCTCAATCTCCGTAATTCAGCAAAACTAAGCGAGACAAACCAATAGTTGAATTTGATACCTTTCTCAAACTCAGCTTTTCAGCTGTTTCGAAAAACCCGATACGAAAGTGACGGAATATTTGTGCTCGAGGTGGGTTTTTTTTTTCTTCAGACAAATTTCGACTTTTTAACTAGCCGTTTTTGACGGATATTGTTTTATATCAATGAAAAGTATTGTTGTCCTGAGCTCAAAATTGAAAAGATATTTCACATGTGACCATTTTTGGTAAAGTTATGGGGGTTTAAAGATAGCCATTTTCGCCAAATTGGGACAATTTACGTGCGATATATTTCGCGCTATTAACGCGTAAGCGGAGATTTAATCCGTCTTAAAATCGTTCCAAAGGGTTGAAAGAAGCTTATTTACCATAATTGATTTGTTACAGGAGCAAAAACTATCCGTTTGTACTTTATATAGCGTGTGGGGGGATGATTTTCATTAAAAAAATTCAAATTTTAGAGAAAAAAAGTCATTTTTAATGTTATTACTGCTCCATAAAACCTTAAAAGGCAGTCGGAACATTCGGGGCTTTGCCCTGATATGAGCAATCTTGTTAGTTTTTTAGGGGTGAATTTTCCAATTTTTAAAAATAGTTGAGATAATTTGCCTTCAATGCTTGGAAAAGTTTCTTTCGTATTTCAAAATAAAATGATTAAAATTTACAGAATAAAATGGAGAGTTTGCGTTTGGTTCTGCTCGCAAATGTTTTGAATAAGCTTTACCTTATCTGGCTCCGAAAAGCTTCGAGTAGTGCCGGTAGTTGTAGTCGTTGCAGTTCTGCTGTCCATAATCTCTCTGTCTCTCGAAAAATGATGTCTCGAGTCAAAATTGCTACATTGCAAAAATACTTAAAACACAGTGCACTGTTTTTAATAGCATCGAACTGCTAGTGCATGTTTTTGAAGAGTGAGAGCTGTGAATTAGTGATGAGTTTGTGACGAATGGCGACTTTGAACGGTTGGGTAGTGTTTTTATACCAGATAAAATTCCTTCAGGTAATATTCTACCAGGTTATATTTTATACCTATTAATATTCAATTGTGGGCAGTTGTTCAGTATAATTTTGTAACAAGTCAAGTAATTTTGAAATGAGACAAAATTTACTAAGTCGACACTAGTACCTTAAATATTCCAATGTAAACATTTTGCATGAAGCTTCTTAGCCTACTTTAAAGCACGCTTAATTTAAATTGTTTTTGCTCATTCCTCATTTCATTTCAGGTGAAACAGAAACTTGATTGATTCAATGATTGATAACATTTAATTTTATTATGACTTGTATACATAAAACATATAATGTAAATGGCAGTTCATCGTAGTTTAGCGAGGGAGGGGGGCTATTGTCATGAAGAAGGAACCGAATATTGGACATTTTATACCAATGCTTTTGCTGACTACGCATTACGTTTCGCTGAACAATTTGTGTTTATATTGAATAGTTTCTATTTGTTTTGCTGTTCAATTTTTAAAATGCATTTTCGATGACTTTATTTGAAAATTCGTTTTTGTGCTTATTTTGCAACCGGCAGTTAATTTTAGTTTTGATGGCCTAATCTTTCGTGATTTTTTTGAGATTTTTGTACAATCAAAACTGAATGGCTGAAAACAAGGCTAAATTTGTGGAAAAATGGGGATTGATTGAGTAATTTGAACAGTTTTTTGAAAAACTAGTAGATTTTTTTAGCCAAACCAATGGATTTTCCGAACTTGTTTTCCAGGCTATCTTGCAGGCCAAACTGTGTGTTTTCGAATAGTAAGCAGGTTTTACAGAAATTTTTGTCATGGAATCCACAACAAGGCTAATTTCTTTGATTTTCTTGTGAAAAACAGAGACGAATGGCGAAAATGTTTGCAGTACAAAATAACTATTCCAATATGGAAGCAGCTGTCCGAGTTGCAAAAAAAAACATAGACTTGAATCAGTAGATATAGAAAATGTGATCAAATTCAATAAATTAATGTTCCGAGCATTTGAAAAATACGAAGGAATTATGACTTTGGGTGTGTTATATTTTTTCTCTTTGTTTTCCACGCAAAATCATGTACCACAAATAACCCTCGGAATGAATCAAGCGATGTGTCATATTAAAGCCCTTTCAACCGTAATTCTAACGACATTAAAGAAATTTCGAAAAAATTTCCCTGGTAGTGAGAAAAAAACGGTTTAAACATTTGAGTTTTAATACAGTTTCGAGCGAGTAAAGGGATCGAGTAACGTTCGTTTTGAAAAAAATTATTGGCGATTTTGACTAAAACAATTTGATTTTACTAAGAAGTAAACCAGTTTTGAAAGCTTCATTAAGCGCTATCTTCGCCATAAATCTTTCATATAAATATATAGTTTTAAGTGCGACAAATTAGGAAAATGGTAAGAAACGTTTTTTGAGTTTGCACGATATTTTTGTGATGAAATCCACAACAAAGTTAACTTCTTGTTGTGAAAAACAGAGAAATATGGCGAAAAGGTCGGCAGTACAAAATACTTATTCCCATGGGCAAGCAGCAACGCAAGTTGCAAAAAAAACGGTGACGTGAATCAAAAGATATAGAAAGGGTGATCAAGTTCAATAAATTAGTGTTTCCACCAATTGAAAAATATCAAGCAACTTCGAATTCGGGTGAATTTTAGTTTTTCTTCTTTTTTTCTCTTTGTCACTCAAAATCCCGGTTTAATAACCACCTGTACATATAACTTGCCCATTATTTCACAGTCACAAATAAAGAAGGTTCTAAGATAGTGGTTCCAAAGTTAGTTCCAAGAGTTTTCATCTCCCTCACGTAGAAAATGCGAAAAATGTAATTAAGAATAATAAAACGCGAAAAAAAAGTTCTGACTACAAGATGATCAATTGCTTTTCTTGTAGTTTTTCTGTCATAAATTAAATATTTTATTTTTTGCAGATGACTGGACACGGAAATTTGTCTGACTCTCGAAATGCAACAAGGTTTTTCAGATAATAAAGCAAAGCAACGTGTAGATTTTATCGATGCAAAAAGACCTTGATTGAACGTTCCAAGTAGAGATTCGGGCTCTTCCTTCAGTTTTGGCGACATCCTCATTGATTGCATCATTAGTTTAAAAAACTTGCGCTTACACTTAAGTACTCCGATTTAGATTTAGACTTAGTCAAATCTGAGTTTCAACATTAAGAGAAGCAATTCTTGCGCAAGTAGCACAGAGAATTTTGACGAGGCTTTATTGTAATAAAAATTGAAAACAAGAAAAATTGTTTCCCAATTTTTAAGCTGCTTGAGATTTCCAGTCTGAAAATTGGAGAAACCCAGACCCAGTTTTCTAGAAATACTTGAAAAAATTTTTTTGGAATCCGAAGAATCACGACCAATAGGGCTTCAGTATTTTAGCAAACTTGACTAAAGTACCCAAACTTAACCCAAAATTCACACCCACGCTAGATGAACAAAAGGGCACCGAAAAACTATTAATACTCAATTTTTTGTCCAATAGTGATTATATCAGAGAAAATAGCAGAAGCAAACTTTTTCCAAGTTAAGCAAGTTTCTATGGCTGACATTATTCAAGCTTTCTGTTCTGCTCTGATCTACATTCAAAGTTTCCCCGTATGGTAAAGTTGTGCTATCGGAGATCCAAGTCGATCACGTTCTGCTGTTCGATAGTGCAGTTTATTCCTTTTAAGAAAGGAAATTAATTCGACTGAAAAAACATCAAACCGCGAAAACTAAGAAGAAGAAGAAGAAGAATTAATTTCACTTAACAAAATCAGATACACTATTACATTAAACAAAAAGAATATTTTTTATCACATAATAAATAAATCAATAGTTTACCAGGATTGTTAAGTGAGGATACGCAAAGGGTTTTCTTCAAACCCACTAGGAGCGTACCCCACAGATTACAGAAAAAAAAGCACATCATTGAGTTATAAATAAGTGATAAATATAATATTTATGAAACCAAATAGCAAAAAGAAAAAATTACAAGTTTTTTAGAAATTAATTAACGCCTCATCCACCTCGCGAAAAAAAAGCCCTTAAATTCTCCAGAAATTTGGGCAGAGTAACGCCCTCTTTTTGACCATTTTTCAAAATTTCTTGAAATATGACTATGTCCTTTAGGTGCAAAGCAGAACAACCCAAAACTGTATACCCATACTCAGACTTGAATAGTATTAAACTATGTTGCCCGGAGACAACGCCTGGTCTTCTGAAAGAATACAGTTCGAGCCGCCCCACCCCGCACCTGAACACAGTCATATTTATAATCATAAAGCAAAAGTATACCTAACAAGTTCGTAATTTTCATGTATAAACGTATCTCTTAGCATATGTGCCAAATTATTTAGTTCCCCTTTTTTTAAGTTTAAAACATTTTCCGGGAGCAAGTTATTATCTCTAAATATCTTCAACAGTTTGCATCCTCTAAACCATATCGATTGTCTTTTCGTTTTTGTCTTACAGCAAGGAACTTCAAATTGAATACCTATAGATTTTCTGGTAAAATAAGCCGATTTTGTTTTCAGAGTGAAAAAATCGTTAAGAAATGCGGTTGTATTCAACTTGTTTATTGATCTTAAGCAAAATTTGAGAAGATCGTACACATACAGCTCATTAACTGTTAAAATTTTGTGTTCTCTAAACCTTTCCCTAATACTATCGAATTTCCTTACTTTGTAAATCATTCGAATTATTTTTTTCTGCAAAAAGAAAATTGGATTGAGATTCGAGAAGCTCGTTCCCCCATATACCAGTAATCCATATTGTATAATGGGTTTGATGTTGTAACAATAATATTTTATTAGCACATCTATCGGTACAAATTTTCTCATTTGAGCAATAACTCCACAATGCCTTCCTAGTTTCGCTTTTTACTTTTTCAACGTGCGTACAAAATGACAGTTTTGAATCCACAAAAACACCTAGATATTTGCAATACGCCTTAGAAGTAACCATATAATTGTTAATGCACAACTGAAGACTGGAAGCACTTACTTTATTTTGGAAACTTAGTAATATTGATTTATCTCCATTAAGTGTTAGCTTATTTCTATTTAGCCAGTAACATATATTTTGTATGTCGTTGGTGAAGACCTCGAAAGATTCGTTTTCGCAAGTGACATTGGTATCATCTGCAAATAGGTAAACGGTTGTGTCTTTTACGCAATTGGGCATATCATTAATATATATTAAAAACAATAACGGACCGATCACGTACGTGAGCAAACTCAAATTTGTACGTGAGCAAACTTTGGACTTTTCCCGAAGAAATCACAAGGACATATATAGGAGTCTTCACAATGTGCATCGACTCCAAATTAGTGCTCATTAGCTTCAGGAAACCAATATAGAATCTATTAATTTTTTCAAAAATTTTCCATCTTTCTACTTTTGCCGCCACCTTACAACCCTTTAATTTTTCGTAACTTTACTTTTTTAAATCTGGATCAAAAAGTAAGTTTTGTAAATCCACTGAGAATTATAAAAAATAATTTTTTTTTCAAATGAAAGTCAAGGTCAAGTTCCATTAACTAAAGCATCCTAATACAGTGAATTGACATCATTCGTTCGCTTATTAAAATCAATCAATGAAAGTCTCTTGGGGGATTCTTAACAAACAAAATTATCCCTACAACAAAATTCAACCATTAACACATTTCTCTAGAGATTAATGCATTGTTTTGCTAGCATAATCCAAAATTAGATCACGTCATCTTTCATCAGAAACAAAAAAAAATATGCAACAAAGATGAATTGAGCATTTGTAAACAGGAAATATGGTGTATAATGTTTTTTTTTTAAATCTATATTTACACTGCAGATGAACTTCAAACATAATTTTGTGCAAACATGCGTCTTTTTGAACTAATACCAAGGAATTAAACATATTAACATTGGCAGTTAATTTTATAAATTAGAATAATATTAAAACTTAAATTACCACTTGCGCTGAATTGCGTCACGTTTTTGCACGCAATCTTTTTTGTTAACTAAAAATTGTTGATTTTGACATTATGACAGAAATGCCGAGACTTGAATCGAGGGACACTCATCCTTTTCATTCAAGTGATGTGCAAAAATGAAAGCATTTTACAATTATTTAACTAGACAACGCGGGAAGGAAAATAAGTTTTATGTAAAATGTTTTATTTGAATTCAGACATCGACATACGCTCCTGGCTTCGGGTCGGTTAGCTCCACTTTGGTCGACTTGAACTGAACCACTCTGTTTGGCGCATGGTTTCTATCAAGCGTCGAGGTCTTCGGTGGAGGTGGAGGGGGTCCGGCACCTCCCATAGAGTTTGGTTTATGGTCAGATGTTGGCGACGCTACACGAGGTGGAGGATATTTTGAGGTCGAAGACGATGAAGAGGAAGCATTGCCATCTGGTTTCGCCCAGTTCATAACTCCCCCACCTCCATTGAGAGTTGGGGGCTTATTGTTGTAATAATTAGGAGCTGTACCAGCAGCTGAACCCGATCTCGCCTGCCTATTAGTGGAGGACTGGGAAGCCTGCGACGGCCGTCTTCGGTTGGTGCCATTGTCAGTTGCAAACTGGTAGTGACAATTGGCATCGCATTTCACGTTACCAGAATGGCCGTTCATGAAGTCTGTCGAAAAACCAGGAGTCTAAAAAAGATGAGTTATGTCATCTACCCATACAGAGCTGTAGCTTATACCCAGAATTAGACTCTTCCAAATTGGGAGCCTTTTGGAAAAACCTGGCGCCAGAATTGATGAAGGGAGGAAAGGTTAACATCCTCTGCACGCTATTAGTCCTGTATTTTTCACAATCACAATCGACGGGTAATCACTCAAAATCAACAATATATGCTAAAATACTATATTGTAATACACTTTTCCATCTTTAATACCAAGCACACCATACCAAGCACACAAGACTTTAGACTTTTCTCCCTAACTTCAATAAATGTTTTATCTAGAATTGATAAACAGCTGTTTCAGTTAAGTTGTTCAGGCACTCGTTGTGGTTCAAGGATATAAAAATGTAACAAAATCATGAGAAACTAGGCAGATTAAAAAGGGGTTGCGAAATTACAATACAATGTGCGGTAATATTCAGGAGGGTGCACTTACCTGACGACGCTTCTAGATATTAGAAAATTGTTAAAGCTATTGATTTCGGAAGAAACTTAGAAAGCTAGAAGATCAGCCCTAGCCCAAACTAAAATTTAGAAAGCAATGCCACCATAACAAAAAATATCCAGAGAAATAATAAAATTATATGTCACTAACTGGCGGTTACTCGGAGAAATGCCGATACTAACTATTCAAGGCAATGGCACAGAAACAAAGTCTTGTAGATAAGGACCACTTAAACCTATACTCAATTTTAGGCCATTTCAAGTGCAACCCATAACTCGCGTTTCAAACGGGGCTTTTTAGTTGATTCCGCTGTATTTCTCCAGTCGTTTTTCTGCTCAGTTCTCTTGATTATCAAAAATGGTACAGGCAGATGCAAAAAGTTCAGATTGACTGATATATGAAAAAATAGCCGGTAAACAGTTCGAAACGGTCAGTGAACCAAAAAAAGAAGGTTGGAAAAATGCAAATAATAAGGATTCCGAAAAGAATTACACAGAGGCGAAGTTGCACTTCGCATTCACTCAGAACCATAATACCTTGAAGCTTAAGTGCTACTTGTAACATGATAGTCTGTGTTAATATCCTCAGCATTGATCAAAATGAACATATTTTATCGCAGCAATATTTGCTACTTGTGTTATAGAATGAACTTTTTTTTTCAACCTAAGCTTTGCTTGTGTCACAAGAACAATTCTGATGGAATTTTTTTTTATAAAACGAACCCAATTTAGGAGAAACGGATCAATGGGATTTTTTTTATTCCGCTTGAAAATCTGAAACTTAAATCAATTTTCGAAACTAGTCGTTCACGTTGTTCGCTTTCGCAATAGTATAGCGCAACTCACCTAACATTTAGCAGATGAAAGTGATTTGAACTCAAAAAATGCATATATACCTAAGTTCATTCATAAATGCATTAAAATGTATGAATGCACTTCTGTAGCTATTCCTGAAAAAAAAAACATTAAGAAAAGTTATCAGAACCTTAAAGCATTCATAAATGCATTAAAATGTATGAATGCACTTCTGTAGCTATTAGAGCATTCATTTTAAGACTTTTTCCAGAACAAAAAACATCAAGAAAAATTATCAGAACCTATAATTGAAAATTACTCCGTTCTTTTACACTTAAAAATGATTAGTAAACTTAAAAATGATTGAAAGTCTCTCCGTTCCTTTACACTTAAAAATGATTCCGAATAGAGAAAACTGAACTGACAGGTTTTTTTTTATTTCGCTGGGAAATCAAGTTTGCAAACGGATGCAACTTCCGTTCTGAAATTTTGAATGACTTCAAAAATTTTAATTCACAGTGAATATGTTAGCAAAGCCTGTGAACCCAGCAACAGATTCAATAAAAGTAACCCAGGAAGTTCAATGAACGAATATGATTACAAATTCAGGAAAAATAGAATAAATAGTTTTTGAGCTGAGCTGAAAATTCAACCACTAAGAATTGAAAATTTCTGAAATCGATTTTTTTAAAAATTTTTATGTTGTTTAAACGAAAAGTTTTTTAAAGGTTCATTTGATGAATCAAAAATGCATCAACTGTGTTAACTTATTGCTAGTCGAAAGTCTAGTAAAGGTGCTCCAAAAGTGGCACAAATATTTGCGACTTGAGTTGAAAAAAAAAGAAAGTACTAAGACACTTTGCTTCGCAAGTGTAATTATTCTACTGTTGTTTGAAACAAATGGCTTTTTCGGTTTATTAGATGATTTGAACATAGCCAACTAGCAATTGAAAAAGAGTAATGAACGCAAGTAAACAGAAGCTTCGAATTTCAAAGAAAAAATAGATACCCGTTAAGCTCTTTGAATGTCTAGAACAATTTATGATTGGCGCTTTTTTGATAAAAAAATTAACCCAACTTCAGAAAACTGGTTCAATAGGTAAAATTTTTATTCCGCTGGAAATAACCATTCGAATCCCAAAGCTCATGTTAAAAATAAGCTGTACAGGTGCAACTAAATGTCAAAGGTGCAACAAAATATCAAAATATCTCATTGCCAACTCGATGCAGCAAATTCGACGCAGCAAATATTGTTGCTTCAAGTCGCAACAATCATTGCGACTTAGTCGCAACAAAATTTGCGACTTAGATTGGAAAAAAAAGAAAGTTCGTACTATAATACATAGCTTCGCAAGTGTAAATAGACCTAATTAATCGAGACCTATATAAGTGTCTTCAATATGTTCTTTGACAATTAATCATTGAATGAATTTTTTTATACATAGGCAAAGCTGCGCTTCGCAAACACTAGCAAGAAAACGACAAAAAAACAGCTCTTTAAATTGAAATAAGAAAAGGAATAAGCCTCTAATTAGTACAAAAAAAACTGGGACGCGTCTCACGCACTAGCCCACTGAATCTTAACAATTCACACACTAGCCACAAATAAAGCATGCAAATAAAGAGAACAGATTCTATGAAATTTCCAATGCTACAGATCGTGATTATATCAAAAGTGCCACCAAATGAGCACTTTTATTTGCGAGTTAGGTTGGAAAAAAAGAAGGATCATACTAATACACAACTCTCGCAAGCTCGCTAGGGTAATCACAGGTGCCACACGTGGTAGCTGCGATATTGGTCTTTGTCATCAAATTCTTCATTAGAAAACGACATTAACTCTTATTAATTTATCCAATCAATCCGAAATTTTTGCAATTGCGTATATACGGCTGACATTCTATACATAACAGCAGCGCGAAACCTACATATCTACTTGTTTTATATGTGGGGGTGTTGGGTTGTACCTCTTCGGTGTGTATCTTCCATTTGTCGAATGCACTCCTGGCCACTTGCGCCTCCTGCTCATTTACAAACTGACCCCTCACGTCAAAGTGTCTGTAGTACACTCTCTCCATTACCATACACACTCCCCCCAACACCACCCCAATGGCCACTGTGATGAAGATACCCGCCATTGAATCAATACCTAGAATGCAACATGCTAATACAGTTATTGCCTAATTGTTGGTATCATCCTTTTCGATTAACGAATCAAAACAAAGTTTATAAACCTCAAACTGCTTGATGACTGAAAATAAACTTTTGCCCAATTGAACACGTTAACGGAGGATCAAAAAACCCAAAGACTGAAACTCACTTTTACTGACCCATAAAAAGCCCAGACAAACCGATATTGAAAATGGTTTGTCCTTAACTATGTAACTGAATTGAAAGCTCGTTACATTAAACAGTAGATCAAAGTAGCTGTAAAATGAAAATCTAAGCACAAACTATAATTAAATTTCCCTTGATAGCTGACCAAAAACTCTTGTTTTTTTTTAATCTCAGTTAATTTAATTAAATAACTGTTATGATGCACAAATATTTTGAAGCACCAGGGTTAGTTACCTAAAGTAGTTGGTTTGTTGTCTGACATCTCGCAGCTATTCACAATGACCCAATCTCTGTCCATCTGTTCCATCTCCCCCGTCTCCCTCATCTTCAGGATCTCCAGGGAGATCTTCTCTGTCCAGGCACTGTCCTTCTGCAGCGCAACTGCAAGTCCACTCTTCTGGAAAGTATCACCGACCATCATCAGGTCACAGTCTCTCGAGGTCTCGTAGTCCAGTTGAGCACTGTCCCAAATGAAAGCCTGCAGTTGTCTGGACAGTACGTAAGATATCGAAATAACAAAACATCAACTGGCACACATAATTTCGTAACGCTTTCTCATAAATTCTAATGTCAGCTTATCAGACTAAGGCATAGCGCTACAGTTGCAAAAAAGAGAAACAATTGTTTATAATTGGAACTTTGAATCCACTAGCAACATAAAATCAATAATTTAAGGACGCAGCCGCAACAACACAAAAATTAATTATAACTTTTAAGATTTCAACTCTCTCTTTGTATTGTTGTCAAATACTGGCGCATCGTAAATTATAGAAGGTTCTTTTTAAACAAAAAAAAATAAATTAAAAAAAATACCAAAAAAAACTTAACAAAACAAAAATATATTAATGCCACTATGGCGTCGCTGAATTTAACACTGTAGCCAATCAACAAAAACTTGCACTAAAAACCACCCCAACTACAACGCTAACTGACCCTGTCTTGAGAGCGTTGAGGGCGTCGCTCTGGGTCTGGTGCGAGTAGTTCTGCATGAAGTGGTACATGTTGGTCATTTCCACCTTCCGTCTGAAGTAGTTCTCCACTGCACTGTCTAACACAGTCCCATATGGATACGTCTCACTCGGATTGCGCATCTAAAACAAACACAGTCTTCGCATGATTTTGAATAAAATAAATTCTTTAATTCTTTATAATAAACCCCAAATAAATGACAAAACCTCACAGTGCCTCAAAAAAATTTAGGAGTTCCGAAAAATAAAAAGCTTTCCTTATTTCTCCTTTTCTAAAATAAAATAAAAAACTCCTTATTTCCTCAGTGATCATTACAAATAGATGAACTATATCAACTCAGGGTTACGTACAAGCTAAGCACATTTAAAAGGAATTTTTTCAAATAATCTTTAAAGACGCAATTCTATACATGAGGACTTACCCTGGCATCATTGATTCCAGTAATTTCACTCTCTGGTCTCTCCAACACAAGATAGGCGGCCAAATTTGCTGTGTAAGAGGCCACAATTATCATAGCAAACCCAGCCCACACCATTCCTAGGACCCTAGCAGCAAAACTTCGAGGTGTGCCGCCGATTCCGCTGTTGAGGAGTACGCCATACGCGAACCAAAGTGCAGATGAGAGATTAAGTGCCTCGTCTCCATCTTCGTCATCTGGGTTCAGGGAGCTGGTTGATCCCCCGATGCTCTTGGAGAGAGGGTCTGTTCTGTTTCGGGCGAAGGGAGAGAATCTGTGAAAGAAATAGGAAGGAGTTCATGTAAATTAAAAACCCAAAGCTTATGAGGTGATGTTTACAATTTCAGTTAAATTACGGAAGATTCGAAAAATATAGAACTTAAGAAATATACAAAAATCATCTTCGCAGAGGCTAAGCTGCGCTTCGCAAACACCAGCGGGAAAACGAAAAAAAAAACGGAAAAAAAAAAAAAAAAAAGATAAAAATAGGCCTCGTAAAATCAAAACTTTTAAAATTTTTTTAAATTCTAGCCACAAATTAAGCATCTACACTAACTTTGCATGTAATAAATTGGAAAGCACAAAGCAACCTTATGCAATTAAAAAAGCGAGATATAGTGTGTTAGAAAATTGCAGAAATCAAGTTTTTTTGAATGTTATGTGTATTGAAACGAAGTTTTTTCGGTTCATTAGATGATTTAAAAATACATCAACGGTGCTAACTTATTACTAATCGAATTTCAAAACACATGCCATCAAAAACCACGCCAATTATGAGTCTACATAATTGCTAAGGTACGCAAGCCAATTATGACTCATTAGCAGTCCAGTCAATTTGAAAAAAAAGGAGAAATTTACCAACTAACGTGCTTCAATTTCTAGAGCGGAGGCATTTTAGCTAGTATACAAAAAATTTCATTTAAAACAACCGCCCCTGCCCAGGTTCGAACCCTCTTATTTTGTTGCGGTCTCCTTCCCTGCCTCTACGCTACAGATCCATGATACCTGTAAGCTAAAATGCTATTTGTAATATAATCCACTGTGTTCATATCCCTAGCATTGGCTGTACTTAATAGCTGGTTATTGATCAAAATGAACACTTTCAAAATGAACACATTTTGTTGCAACAATATTTTGCGTCGCAACATTATTTGCGAATTAGGTTGGAAAAAAGAGAGTTCATACAAAAACACAAGCTTTGCATGCGTAAAAAATGAAACAACTGTGTTAACTTATAACTAACCGAATGTCAATGTTATCAAAAAGCCGTAACGGTGCCACCAAAAGTGGTATCAATATTTGCGACTTAGGTTGGAAAAAAAAGAATAGTCTGATTATTACACTACGCTCGTTACAACTCGCAAGTGTAAAAACAGATTAACGATGAAATAAATATTAACTTTTTCATTCTGAATTAAAGTAATATTCTAAATCCTAAGGAGAGTCTTTAGAAGAATAGAGAAATAAACCAGGAATGATTGGATAGTAAAAAGAAGTTTCCAGTTGTTACCTGTCTAATAGGTAGAGAATGAATGCGACAATGTGTACTGAGATGAAGATGAGGATCCAAAGGCTGTAATGGAATGGCTGGACAAAAGAGGACAAACTGCTAGTCGGTTTTTGCTAAAAACAAAACAGCAAGAAGGTGATTTCAATTAAATATTGGCATAGCGATTCATAAAAAAACTCCGCACTATTATAACTGGTGTCCGTTCCTCCCCCCTCCCCTTTGCGAAAGGGAGAGATTCGTTTCTAGGAGGTAAAATGCATATATGCTTAACCGTTAAATCAGTTCTTTATAAGGGGGGACTCGCTACTAGATACCATAATGCGGTACTATGGGGAGGGGGTTACTGGGTACCATAGGTGATTGTAATCACCATTTGATGATTGCATAACAGCCAATTATTCTGTCTGCATATGCATAGAGACGCCCACTTCGTGAATAATTAACTGTAGCTGCGGTCAATTAAAATGCAGGCAGTGTCCAAATTAAAGAGATATCCCTTCCCTCCCGACTTTTTTGAAAGAATCTGCTTTGAACTCACATAGAGGAAAAATAGGTGTTTTAAAACTCACCCTTTTGACAGCTATGGACAGTCCCTGTGGTTTGAATGGATTGGTGAAGTCCACCACATTGGATCTGTCGTGGTCTATGGTCATGGCTGCGAACACTGCGTCTGCCTCCTGTTTGATCAACTCCCCTATAGCCCCATTCCACACTCGCTGACTCTTCGCATCATTCCCTGTCGCCTGAAACGACAAAAGAACAAAATATTACCATGTAAAACAACGTTAATGAGTGTAAGAAAACCTTCTGTCGACCAATCGGTTTTTTCCACAAAGAAAATGATTGGATCTTTGTTGCCAAATAAAATGTAAACTAAAGCCAACAGACTGGTCAATGAACTCAAAGAAACAAAAAAAGTTGACATGTTTTTTTGAAAAAAAAACTTTCCAACTTCGAACAAAAAATATATGACCTTATAAAATTTAAGCAAATTGAGTGAACTGGATTATAAGGAAAAGTTTTTATTCAGGAAAGAAACCTAGAAAATAAATTCCTCTTTAGAAACTAGAAATCGATCACGTTTTTTTTGCGCCTTTTCAGCTTTTAAAATGGGAGTGTATTCTGGCTACCTTCTAGCAAACTAACTTGAATTGAACTCAAAAATTGCATATATAACTAACTTCATATGCGCATTCAGATGTATAAAGGCACTTCTTTTGTTATTGGAGTATTTTTCCTGCAAAAGAAAAACAAAAAAAATTATCACGACTACATTCACCAACTCTTTACAAAAGTAAGCGTCGACGGCATCAATTTGACCATAAAATTATCGTTTTCACTAGATACTTGTGAACATGAAAAGTCAACTACAACAAAACAAAAATATATCAAAACAGGTAAGGTAGTATAGAGAAAAAAAAAACGTACGATTCTGTAGTTTCCGAACTTTCCGTCTGGCGAGAGGTAGAGAGAGTATGAGAAATTGAGGGCCGAGGACACAGCTTGGAGTAACTGGATACAGTAGCCATAGCAGCACTTCTCCACATAAGCATCTTTCTCCGCTAAAATAACCAAGGTTTGCTTTAAAAACAAACGTCTAAAAGTATTTTGTTTCATTTGAAAACCGTTTCTCTCTGGCTAGTTTTTCTACAATATTTTCAGTCTATATTTGCTTCAGTGTCGTTAGCGTATCCGATTTCATATTTTTAAAAAAAGAAGGTTCATACTAATACACTACGCTCGCAAGCTAGCTACTGTAAAAAGATGTTTAAGTTTTGAGAAAAAAGTCAGGAAACAACTGAAAAAGGATTACTAAAAATTAGGCGAACATTTTTTTAATTTTCAAAGAACCTTTTTTCATTTAAATTTTTAGAGATGTTTTGATTTCGGCCTTTCCTTCATTCTGCCTACCTGACTCATACTCGATGCAGACAGTATGGGTGACATTATTACACTTTCCTCCAGTGGCCTGTGACATGTCAGTAACGAAGACGAAGGGCCTGTCCTGCACCGTCACAATCTTCAGGTTCCCATCTATCGTCACTCCCTCCGGCAGTTGGCTGCCCCCTCCGATCCACGAAATAGTCTCACTCTGAATCAGCTTCTCGTTCACATAGATCTGTGAGTCCTTCCCGCCCACACCTTGTTTCCTAAACACAAAAGTCCAAAACTACCTTCGCAAATGAATTTCGACCGGATTATTCACTTTATGCATCAGAAGAATCATTTTCCACCAAATACTCCATCAACCATAACCTCCCGACTTTTTGAAATTTTAATCAAAAAGTATAATAAATAACCAATTCAGAGCTTTCAGTGCATAGCAATTTGCCTAAAATGTTATTCAAAGATTCGGTTTCGGCCGCCACGGATATGACGGACTAAGTCTTACCATGAGCCTATCTGCTGGTAGAATACTGGTGACTGTTTGACAAAAATGTCGTATTCTGCATAGTTGGGATCCCCATTTACTGTGTACTGCATCATCTGGTCCATGCTCTGGTCCCTGATGCTTCTAAAGAGAGAGAACAGACATGTGTTACTCATAAAAGCGCGGCTTTAGGGGGGGGGGACTCGAGAGCCTTCCATTTCGGAGTGAAGACTACGGTTTAAACGCTTGTTTCACAGTGAATCAACGCAAGTGGCAAATATTTGAGTTTGACTAACGGAAAGCAGAACTACATGTATTGGCGGCAGACTGTGTACATAAAATGTTGCGTGCATGTGTATTGTTCAGTTAATCGATTACCGTTACTGTGCTTTTTCAGTGAGAATATGAAACGGAATTCAGGTATTTCTAGTTATTTTTCGAAGGCGCATATCGCGAAAACGCCATGAAATGTACCCGGGTTGAGCTCATATTGAAAATTAGCGATAAAAAATGAAAAAAAAAAACAACGATCACCATCGATGAATTACCGATGTTCATTGCACCAATAGCAAATTTCATCCGTAAATTATTGCTAATTTGTTTAACTTTCAGCGATGGAATAGCGATAAGAAAATCCATCACAATGAGAAAAAATAGTGATCTAACAGTGGTTCGCTCCCGCAACCATCAGCTTTGTAGACATGTATGCTACCTCCGCGCCATCAAGCCTTAGACACACCTAAGTTCTCATTGGAGGGAAAATCTGACCTCTTGGGAAAACCTGACAGCATCCCACTATTGGGTTGCTTTTTTAAAACTCGGTGAAATCAACACTGAATTCAAATTAAGTTAAAAAAGCTTAAACATAGCGAGATGGTGAAGCCCGCATTTAAATATATGATAAATATACCCTCAGTTTTGCGCCAGAATTATTATACTATTTTTGATTACATTAGATCTTCACATATATCCGTGGTAAAAACCAGTAATATAGCATTACTGTTGCAAAACCCGGCGGAGGAAACGGTAAAATAGCTCGAGCTGCTATTAAAATTGGCAACCAGGTCAAATATTGGCGACAGAATGATGTTGGGCCCGTCAAACTTTCGAAGTTGAGTCCAGTCAAAAACGAATGCGGTTTTCGGGGATTTAAAGGCCGACAATTTTTTCTTCATATATGTTTTAGGTAGCCAACTATTATTCGTGTACCCAAATGTTTGTGCAGACTTACTTGAAATATGCATGCCCATCTGGCCATCCTCTGCTGTTGCAAGTGGTGAGTGGGTCTAGCCTGTCCAGGGGATCAATTCTATCTGTCCTTTTGAGGAAGTGCAGCAGTCCCCCATATATGGACCTGATTGCTCTTTCCAGGTGCCACTCCACGTCATTGCCTCGTTTAAGTTGCACAAACATTGATCCTATGAAATGAATTTCTCTTCAAACTCGATTTATTCCATCGAACTGTCATGAAATAAACCTAAGATTAAGCCAACTACCCTCAAAAAAATATATAAACTCTAGGTGCTGGGCGGGTTATGTCATCTGGTTTATTACTAAAACAAGTGCTAAAACTTCTGTGCTATTTTGTCAATAACTAGGCGTTTATGGCTACTTAATTGTTTGGCCCACCGACTGGGAAAATGACTCATCAGACACGATTGTACATTCAGCAGCTGACAAAACAACCCGTGACCACGTACCAACTGGAGCGACTGCCGCGGCCGATTGGGACACTAGCCAGAAATATCCCCGGTCTAACATGCCCACATCCAGAGCTGCGCTGAATATCACCCCCGCATCCTCTTTGCTAAAAACCACCACAGTGATATTATCTAAACAATGACATGGTATAGCATAACTTGCAGACCACGCACAATTTTTGAGCCTGAAAAAAGGACAGTTTTACCACCGTGCGGAAATAATACAGATCAACGCAAACTTCAAGACAGTGCAACATTTGCTTTGATTCTGAATATCAATGTTACTACCAACGGAAGGATTTAAGATGCCTCAACCTTGACCTCAGCCACCCATTAATCAGAATTTTACACTAACTGACACACCAGGCATTAATTGATGCAGCTTTTCAGGCAACCATGCAAATCTCAAACTTATCCTCAGCCCACAAAATTAGGCTTAAATGTTTAGAACCACATATCTTGCTATATCCCATATCAATATTAATAAGCAAAACCATTCAGAAACTCATAACCAACAGGCACACAAGTTAATCTACGAGGCGGTCTTCATTAAGGGGAAAGGGAGTTGCTGCCGCGCTTTATTTGAGGGTACCTTCCGTAGAAGAGGAACACTCTTAAGGGAGTGTTTAGCCCTCTGAGAAGTGTCTCCGCTTGAGACTTGCTCAGACCGGGTGAGTAGTTCACCCTGCGCGAGACCTGAAAAAAACCAGGTCAGATTGAGGTCAGTCAAGCAGACTCGTGAAGGAAAAGTAGCAACGTTTAGAATACTATCTCATGTATGAAAGTGAAATTATGAATAAGTTTCAATAAGATGAAGTTGCTGACATTTCTGTTAAAAATAAAAATTTTCGCTGACCAGAACCTTCAGATGAGTAGTTCAAAAAATGAGCCAGCTTCAATGACAACTTGATGTTCATTCAAATTTGAAAGCTAATTATTTTGAGGAAGTAATTTTCTTTTAATTGACTTCAGGGTTACAAGCTTTAAAAAATTAAGACATTTATACAATGACATTTATCAATAAACATCAGCATCAAAGTTTTTTTTCTCGGGTATTCTTACTCCTAATGGCCTTTTCCGTCTTCTGAGCAAACAAATCAGCTTTTCATTGACTACTGCTGGCTTCAGGCATTATATGGCTTTCAATTTAACCCACTTACAATCAACAGATTTTAATGAGACCCATTGCGAATCCTATAGCGTGCAGATTGCTAGAAGTTGAGTATTTCAGACTAACATTGATGAACACTTTCTCGAAGCTGTCCACAACTGTCTCGTACAGTCTCTCTCCGGCGTAAGTGTTGGGATACACCAGCACCACTTTCGAGTATCTGAACATGGGATCATGCAACAAATCCGCCCACACTCTCGATTGATCCACATCCGGAGACACTGTCCTCAGGAACGTCGAGTGCAGCGCCTGGAAATGAACATAACCAACAGAGTTGAAAAAGAGTCAATGAACGCAAGTGAACATAGAAAAAAAATACTTGTTTTTTAAAAAAAAAAAAATTTTGAATTTCAAAAAAATACATGCCATTGCAGCTCTTGAAATTTCTGGAACAATTTATGATTGGCACTTTTTTTGATAAATTAACCCAATTTGAGAGAACTGGATCAATAGGTAAAAGTTTTATTTTGCTCGGAAAACTGATTCAAAATTAGAGTTCGATTACGTTTTTCGCGATCTACACATTTTTGCTGTTCGATAGTGGAGGTTGCCTTCCTTTTAAAAAGGTCATGAACTAACTTAAAAGAAAATCAAAAGTCAGACCGCGAAAAAAAACCGCCTAAACAACTTAAAATACTTTTCCTGAAAAAAACAAACAAACAAAAAATCATCGCGACCTTATAAGAGTCTGAACTATGTTAATCGACTCTAGATAATTGTGGTTTCTGCTATTCGCAGGGGGTATATGAAAGGCTACCCAGCCTGTTTACGCATAGTCTGTTTCTCTTACTTCGCCACAGACTGAGTTATTTTGTTGAGCGAAGCTCTTTTTTAAGACAAGGCCTTTTTGCGTCTAACTTCCACGAGGTAACAAATATTACAAGCTGAATCAATTAGATCTCACAGGTATCATTTTCAGCCAATAAATATATTCTACACGGAGGCAAAGCTTCGTTTCGCAAACACTTGCGAGAACACGACAAAACAGTTCTATAAAGTGCAATAATTAAAATTAGAAATAAACCGCAAATTAGTTTTCTTTAAAAATTCGGCTACCTCTGAGATTCGAAAGTGCGACCTAGAGATTAAGAGTATCACTCACTACCCGCTAAGCCACGGAAGCTTAATAGACACCAAATACTAGCCACCAATGAAGCAGAGAATAGATGCTATGCAATTTCGAATGCTACAGTGAAATTTCTAAATAAGTGAAAACTTCAATGACCGCTTTTATTTTCGGGTTAGGTTAGAAAAATAGAAGGTTCGTAATAATACACTAAGCTGATCGCAAGTGTAAATACTCCGCAAACGAAGCAAAACATTCTGTTATTTAAATTTGTCATTCAACTTTTCGATGACAACAACGAAATTTTATACAGTGAGTCAAACGATTGCAGAGTCTAGCACCAAAAATAAGGGGGGAACACAAGCGGATTTAGTGGAGTGGCGAACGCCCCCCCGACCTTCCTCAGGGTTTCGACCCCCTGCCCAAATCAAAGGGTCCTGTACTATTTTGAGATATCCCTTTTTTGGCTAGCGGACTCAAACATTTTTCCTGGAGGCGCCTTTGGCGACAATACTTACTAATTTTGAGGGGGAAGCGCTCGCCAAAAACGCGCTTTTTGGTCAAAATTTTTTCAAAAAGCGCATAAAAACGTTTTTTTTTGGCCTGCCTATCTCAAAATTTAGAGTGCAGAAAATTTAGCCAACAGCCTTTTCAGTGCCTTGGGAGAGCTCGGAAAATCAATTTAGTCGACCTAAAAAAAGTAGACAAAACTTTCGAAAATTTTTTGAAAATCCGCCCCACCCCTCGAGAAAATCCTAGATCTCTAAATCCTAGGATTTGTAAAATATTGGTTTGTTTTAATAAGTAAAAAAAAATAGCCACAGGATGAAATAGCCGCGGATTAATTTGCTCGTTGTGCGGAAGTCATTATTATACACTTATCAAAGTTACCTTCTCAGAGTAGACTGGGTCCTGTGTGGAGACTGATATGATGGGTATTTTGTAGAACTCACAGGCGTAGCTGAGTGCCTCTGGTGCTTCCAGTGGCTTCTCCGGAGGATGACTCACAATCAGAGCGTGGATCGGTCTCTCTGGCTGGATCAGTTGTTCACAGAGGGATAGGACATTAGAGATCGAATTGTCACTCATTTCTGAATCACAATTATTTTTCATAAAAGTGCCTTTGATTCGAGAACTATTTTATTTGCAACTTTTTTTACACTGAGGCGAAGCTGAGCTTCACACCACTTGCGATACAACACAAACATATAAGAAAAAACATAAAAGGCCGAAAAAAAAGAAAATTTTTGAAAAAAAAACTAGGTCATATAAACTTTCATATGTCTCGATAGAAGTTCATTCCAGGCAAACATGCCAGACACTTGAATTTTAAATCATCAAGAACGGAACAAAATTTACGAAAAGAAACAAAGTCGACAATCTTTGAGCAGACACAAGTTGAGCCGGAAAAAAACAATAATTTTATTTGAAAAAGCTTAAAGTCCCACCTTAAGCACCAATGGACAACTCTTGTACTTGCAACTACAATGCAAGTTGTTTACAGCACAAGAAAAATCAATGATGTGAAAACTAAGCCAAGAAACTCTTCCCACTTGAAACTAGAATGAACAGCACTAGAACTTGCAACTACAAAGAAAAATTCCTACAGCACAAGCGAAATCCGTTGTGGTAATTTGGCCGACAAAATTTGTGGTAATCCGTTGTGGTTATTTTATTTCCTTGATACTGAAAAAAAGACTAGTTCCGGCCACGACCCCCAGACCTTAGGGTACACAGGCAACTGTTTTACCTCCAGGCCAAGGGGAAGCAACCTGGAAGATGTTAAAAGAAGTCAGCAAGTGATTCAACTGATTTTGTTAAACTAGTTGTGAACTAGAAAAAAGTCAATATTCCAGTTTGATAACGCTTGCTTATCGCAAGCGTAATAACGACATCGGTATAACGCCAACTTAAGTTTACTTGAATTGGTTTTGAGGTTAAAAAAACTGGATTTGGCGGCATTTGGTTAGGCGGCGGGAAGCTGATGTCGCAAAAAGAGAACTAATATATGCAGGAGTGGCGTCCTTCTATAGTCAAACTTCTTCCACTACAAATCTCTGATTACGCATGAATTGCGCGTGACTCGCGCCTAGTGCTTCAAACAGATTGTTGAACGCGAAAAGTCAGACCCTCTAAAGGCAGAAATCATACAACTGCACTTCAAATATCTTTGCGTTTTTTGTATAATCATAAATTCCTAGATATCTTAATTGTTCAATCTTGCCATATTAAAAATCTACACATCTCGGTAACTGGATACTTTCTAGCAACGATATTTTCTAATGAGGCCAGACTTGCAGCTCCTGTGAGAACCCTGAAAACACCAACCACAGGGTTGCTTAGTTCGAATTTTGTGAAATAAACACTTTCCGAAAATTCGCGTAACGAAACAAAAGAAAAACTGCAGGATGAAGGCATTTGAGATCTATACGGTGTACCGTTAAAACTGTAGATATCTTTGAAAATACTCATTCAACTGTTCATTTCAGCAAAAAAGACTTTCGTCAACATTCGTATGGAGTATTTCGCTGAATCCAGAAAAAATATTTAACGTTTCAATATATTGGCATTTTGACATGCCAACCGGGAATTTTAATAATGTGTCAAGTGAAACGTGAGTTAATTAATGTTAAGATAGGTGAAAGTATCTTACTGAGTATATGGGTTGAAATTTTGACGTATATATCGTTGGCGGCAGCACTGATGCGGGTGTCCATTTTGGTCAGGATACTATCCACAATCGCCTGTGGCTTCTTCACATTGTCGTAGTGCAACATCAGCCCGATGTTCAGAGGCTGCTCGTTGTCACTTCTCGATTTCACATCTGCACACATTGCAAACGACACGACGCAAACCACGAAGAAGAAATATAATGTCTTTTTTGTTGTCATGATTCTGTTGTCGTTCCCAGCCCAAACTGTACCAATGAATGGAAATTGGGGCTTCAAGGAGTTTAGTTCGCAAGTAATAAATGTAATAAACTAGAGCTTTTAATCTAAACTCGAATTCAGAAAAGCTTTAAAAAATAGCTTCTTATTTACCTTCCAGTCAAGTAAGTAATCTTTTTTGTCCCAGATGACTCGAGAACGAAGAATTAAAAATGCTGAAGAAGCTTGGCAGGTTCTAGTAAAGATTGTTTTAATCTTGCCTCAGTCGATTTGACCACGCGCACTAATCCATTCTAAGTGCAAAACGCCAAGTTCAGCTGGAAACTAAAATCCATTAGCACTTTTATCTCACTATTTTCATGACTTATCTGAAAAATAACAACAACCAATAGTTGGCAAAGATCACTTTGATGCGCAGTCTCACCTGTTGCGAACGATTCGTCAAAGCTACATGTAATCAAAGCAACTCAATTTTATCGTAACTCACCAAGTGGACGTAACTATGACCATTTATCAGCTTTGGGAGTGAACTATTCGCATTCGTTGAAAGTATAGCATCGAAATTTGAGTAAAAGCAGCTTACTTGCATTATGAACATTGTCATTTAAAACAAAAAAAGCCGTTTGATCATTTAAGCATAAGCAAATTTTGCCAGCACGGCAAAAATTGCTTTATGGGGCAAAATTGAAATGGCAAGAAAAATTTCAATACTCCTTACTAAGAAGAAAACAACTTAAATACACAGGGGGGGGGGGGGCGAAGCTCAGCTTCGCATCACTTGCGATGCAAAAATGAAAACTATCTTACAAGCAAAGAAAAGACCAATTAAAAATTAAAAAATTGAAAGTCTAAAAAATGCAAAGGAAGAAAAATACCTGCACCGTTAGAAACTTTACAAAGAGCTTTCAAAATGCTGGAAAGAAACCAAACTTTCTGTTAGACTTAAGCCGCCAAAAATAAGCAGACACGAAGTTCTAAAATAGTCGACAAAAAAACACAGGTCTCGACTGGAAACGAATTTCGGAGATTTGTTGTCTCAAGCACGAATGTTACCACTGCACTAAATACAGTGAATTGAATTCACAAAGAAAACAACTTCAAAAAGTTTTTCACACAGAGGCGAAGCTCGGCTTCGCAAAAACTGGGGAGAACACGACAAAAAGCAGCTCTGTGGTGCAATAAATAGAAATAAGCCTCGAATTAGTAAAAACTCGGCTACGTCTCGTATTCGATCTGAACCTGGAGATTATGAGTCCCATGCACTAACCATTTAGTCACGGACGCGTAATAAATCACAAACACTAGCCACAAACAAAGCAGAGAAGAGACACTGAAATTTCCAATGCTACAGATCGTGATTTTAGCAAAAGTGCCACCAAATAAGCGAACACTTTTATTTACCAATAAGATTAGAAAAAAGAAGATTCATACAATTACACTTCGCTCGCAAGCTCGCTACAGTCATAAACAATATTTAAAAAAAAAACAAAAAAAAATCGACAAAACTTGAAAATCATTTACTTGCCGAAAACCGGAATACATTGAGATGATATTTAATTTAAGTAGAAAATTCCTAAATTCATCGCATATTTGGAGCTGTGGTAACTTAGCCGACAAAAAACAAGCAGACCAAGAATTACGACAAATATTTTTTTGACGCGCGCACAATTTTCCGTTTACAAAAAAAAACAGGTCCTGGTCGGATTCCAACCCCAACCACTGACTTTTCTCTTTATAAGCAGATAGGCAGGTGCGTTATCTCTCGCCACGTGCGCGAGTTAACGTCTGACTTTTGATTTAATAAGAACCAAATGTAAAATGATTCAAGTGCATCTGCTTAACTAATTGTTAACCCGAAAAAAGTCTATATTCCGATTTGATAACGCTAGCTAATCGCAAGCGTAACCAAAGAAAATGAGTCGTGACTTTTCGTTCAAAATAAGTCATTGAAAAATCTTCATGGAACATTTTATTGATAACCGAATCACGGCTGAAATTAATTTAATGTGACTGATCAGTCAGTCCCATCTGACGTTTATTTGTGACACCTAATTTTGCCTTAAAATCCAAATCTTCAGCGCATATAAGCAAAAGGTGATCGGAACATTAACATTACCAAAGTTTTGTGCAAGGAAATATTTCCTTCTAACTACAAGACCTTAACAAGAGTAGCTTGAGCAAGTAATGAAGTGTCGTATGAAAAAACTACTAACAGGTTCAAACAATAAAACAATTGTTTAGTCTCCTAACTTGTTGCGATGATATGTACTAAATCGCAAATCCTTCAATCGTCAATCAAGGGTCTAAAAAACAAAATTTGGGTCTCAACTGGGCGAGTTAATAAATGATAAGAAAACGATTTGTCGAGATATTACCAGATCGGAGAGAAGTATAAAAAACAATCATTGAAGAAATCAATTTCACAAAAAACGGAGAAATCAAAATATACATGCACAAAGAGCTCCTAACATAACAAACTTTTGGTGAAAACCTACAAAAAATAATAAAATTATAGTACTTTAAGCCAATAGCGTGTACAAACTGAGTTGAAATCTCGTTGGATATCTGGATTGTTTTGAAGAACTGTCCACATTTCTATCCCCATATTTTACCTTAAGGAATTATAGACTAAAAAAATTCTACAATTTGCCATAATTGCGAACTTATTCCATGAATTCAAAGAAGAAGCGACCAGTTTTTCCTAACTAGATCTTGCACCAGAATCTTTCAACAGCCGAATGCAATAAATAAAGAAAACGAATGCTTTGATTTTCATTGAAAATTGTAAAAACTCAATATCCATAACTAAACAAATCTTAGAACGCTAAAACATTCATAATAAACGTTTTTTTTCTACCGCTTCAGGATCACTACAAAATCATAGCACACAACTGGTACAGCGGTAAGGAACTTACTGAAACCATTCAAAAAAACATTCAATAAAAACCATTCAATAAAAACAATTACGTTTCCAGTTTTCTTTGAACAAATCATATGAGCTCAGGCGATTTATCCACAAGGGAAAGGACCAACATACGAGCTGTTTAGCACATCACGGAGAACCGCTCTTGTGCCCCTGCTTAAGATCTACATGCATTTTTTGGTTAATTTTTGGTAACCTTGCCCTTCCAATAATCCCATAATCTCAAGCTATAAAACGCTCAAAATTTGCCAAGAAAAAGAGGGAAGCACCGCAACTGAAATCCCAGTCTCGAAATGTCATGCCCCTGAAATGCCAGTTCGGTTAGTTTTTTTATCCTAACCAATATCTAAGTTTTTTTGAAAAAAATGAAAAAAAAAAAATCATATAAAAGATTTGAGCAGTCATATTTGGACGCCAGATTTGCAGACCTTGAATGTACCCTGACATCAAACCACTATAGAGTTGAGAAGTTCATATTCGGATAGTTTTTTATATCTAAGTTTTTTGAAGAAAAAAAATGAAAAAAAAAATCATAAAAAACGCCGTATCTCGAAAATCAAGAAAAAAAATTGAGCAGTGATACTTGAACGCCAGATTTGCAACTCCTGAATCCACCCTGACATCACCCCACTATAGGGTTGAGAAACTGAAGTTCGGTTAGTTTTTTTTTATATCTAAACTTTTTCTGAAAAAAAAAATGAAAAAAATCACCATATCTCGAAAAATCTAGAAACGCCATATCTCGAAATATAAAAAGATTTGAGCAGTCATACTTGGACGCCAGGTTTGCAACCCCTGAATGTACCCTGACAGCACCTCATTAAAGGGTTGAGAAATTGAAGTTCGGTTAGTTTTTTAATATCTAAGTTTTTTGAAAAAAAAATCATAAAAACGCCATATCTCGGAAAATAAAAGGATTTGAGCAGTCTTACTTGGACGCCAGATTTGCAACCCTTGAATGTACCCTGATAGCAGCCCACTATAAGGTTCAAAATTCAAGTTCGATTGGGTTTTTTCTTTCTAGGTTTTTTGAAAAAAAATTAAAAAATCATAAAAGCGCCATATCTCGAACAATATAAGGATTTGAGCAGTCATACTTGAACGCCAGATTTGCAACCCTTAAATGTACTTAACAGCACTCCACTATATAGGAATATATAGAACGTATGTATATATAAAATTTTGCAATTTTTCGGCCTTTTAACAGACCAACAGACTTAAACATGAGCCAAATGAAATTTCTTAAGCATTTTAACCTACGGTATAGCTTAAACGTGCAAAAATATTTTCATTAAATATGCAAAAATTAATACGTTGAAAAAACTGAAACATGCAAAAATAGGGACTTCTTTAACACGTCAACATAGGGACTTCTTAGACATGTGTCACGTGAAACGCCAATTAAATAATAGATAGATTAAAGAGCTGCGCTTTTTTGATAACATTATCCCAACTTGAGAAAATTGGATCAATAGATAAGTTTTTATTCCACTGGAATTCTGAAAATTAAATTCAACTTAACGAAATCGAATTAGTTCATATTTTTTGCGCCATTTTCACGTTCGTGTTTGGAGAGTGCTATTTAGGTAACTTTCAGCAGATGAATTCCAATTTAACCTAAAAAAGAATATATAACTAAGTGCATTCATAAACGCATTAAAATGTATGAATGCACATCTGTAGCTATTAGAGCATTTTAGATTTCTTCCAAAAAAATAACTACGACCTATATAAGAACATTCAATACGTTCATTACTCTTAAAAATTAGTTAGGATGAGTCTTAGCGCTCTAGGGGATAGCTTATGGCTTCCTTTAAAAGTTTCAAGTTTGTTTAGTTTAAATACGATTGAGCGTATCTAAATTAGACGAAAAACAAAAATTTGAAAACGCTTTTTCCCGACAAAAAGAAATTTTCGAGAAACATTAGAAATTAGCTCAGCTGAAAGTCAGAAATTACTTCATTGTGATGTACCACTCAACCATATTGAGCTGTTTATTGGTGTGGCTTGATTTTGAGAGGAAAAAAAGCCTGAATCTTCAGTTCCTTGTCACCTCCAGTGATCGGGGCAAAAATTCAGCTTGAATTACACTACGCTTCTTAATGCAACTATATCTCTTTTGCAAGAAAAATCAAGAAATAAAATCCATTTTAACTAATATAAAGTCACCAATCAGACAACATGGAAATCATAGAAATACTTTGACAAACAGTAAAAAAAATTAAAGTAGACGAATTTAGTAAGCCCATTCCGTGTCACAGAATCCTGCCTGAATTGGTCTAGCCGGTATGCCTCTTACAATCAATCTACAACGGAGCTCATTCATTCTCTCTTGAACGTCTCCTGATTTGGAGCTGGGTACCTTATCGGACCAAAGATTCTCGGCGGTACCGCCCGCGTCAGGCCACGCCCACTGCAAAAAATTCGTAGCATCTACAAATTCTGCCCAAAGACACGCCTGTCCGCCTATAACGCGACTTCGGACTTTCGAATCACCAAGCTGTTTGAACATTTCCACGTCATAATTGAGTCGCCACTTTTCACCCCTTGACATATTATCAAGGTACCAAGGATGCGATACGATTATACTGATGTTACTTGTCGAAATAGCTTGTTTAAGATAATTTTCGTCATTAACCCAGTGTTTCCAGACGTTGACTATTGAGTTTTGAGGCACTGTAGCTCCCATTTTTAGCAGGTCTTGCCAAAACATAGCTCGAATAGTTGTTGAGCCTGATACTCGACCAATAATACTCCGCAGCTCTTGAAAGAAATTAACAATACTTGGTGTGCTTCCAGGAATACAGTCATGGTAAAACTCGTCTCCTCCTAAATGGAAATTCTTATCTCTGAATACATTGCTGATTTCACCGATGAGCTTCTCCAAGACTTTGAACGTTTGGCTGTTTTCAATATCCAACAAGGGTCCCTTGCCTTCGTTGAACTTTTTCCTAGAGCATTGATTGAACATCTCTGGGTGTCCTTTGCTCCATGACCTCGTATGGGCAGGTATGTCCAGTTCTGGAATCACTCGGATACCTCGTAGCCTAGCTTCTTGTATCACTTCATTGATATCCTTCGCTGTATATACATGTGTATGTTGGTTATAAGCACCTTTTCTTGATAGTTCTGGATATACCTCACTAACATAAGGGAAACTGTGATCATCTGTCAAATGCCAGTGAAGAACATTCAATTTCACAGCCTCCATCGCATCTAACTGTTTCATAATGATCTGCATTGGAATGTAGTGTCTCGAAGTGTCTATCATGAATCCTCTGTACGAATACTTTGGCTTATCCACTACAGACCCCCTGTTTACAAGCAACCTGACATGCTGGGGATCTGGATAAATCAACTGACTCATAGTCTCTATAGCCCTTAGTGCACCCCACACTTGCGCACTACTGATCACAACTTCGGGAGCTGACACTGTAATCGAGTAGCTCTCGTCCATATTTTCATCAGGATACGCATCAGTGCATCCTTGAGCAACTTTGACTGAGATGCGCTCCACGACTGATTTGTATGCAGGTGTGTGATACTGGCCCACCGCCTCTGCTTCGATCCATCTGCGGTGTCTTGTGATGCTTTTTTCAATGATGTCACATCGATCTACAACACAGCTTAAAATTAGTTCGAGAATTTCGTAAATCATAATCAATTTTATGACTTAGATACTTCGCAGATTCGCAGGCTAAAAATTCGCGATTTTGGAATTCCCAAATAATGTCACTAACAAAAAAAAGTATGACAGCTATATTATTTCTTGTTAGGCAATACTAATCTGGTTTTGTAAATCATTTTCGATAGCTTCCGTGTGTTTTAATTCCGAGGAACATGTCAAATCGAGAATATGAATCGCTTAGGCATTTCCCTTTTTTAGATTAAGCTTGCCCGTGTGGTTAATACCTTTCAATTTAGTTACGAAGCCAGCAAACTGAGCCAGGAAACATTTTGGCCTCGGAGTATAGTACTTCCCTTTTTTTATTATGCGATTCTTCTTAATATCTCAATTTCTCTGGTATTTAATTTAAACATGGTCAACAGACAGTTGGAAAAGAGTCATGAATGCAAGGAAATAGAAAAAAAATATTGGCTTCTTTTTTGAAAAAAAAATTCAAATTTCGAGTAACCAAAAAATATGGCTTTAAAGCTCTTTCAATTTCAAAAAAAAATGTTATCGACGCTTTTTCGACAAAATTAGTCCAATTTGAGAAAACTGGAGATCAAGAGGTAAACTTTTTTTCGCTGATAAATTTGTTAATAAAAACTCCACTTTTGGAACAACACGTCGATCAAGTTTTTCGCGACCTTTACATTTTTTTGCTGTTCGAGAGTGGAGTTTGCCTTTTTTAATAAAGGAAATGAAGTGAACTCGAAAAGAAATCAATAGTCAAACCGCAAAAATTAAACAAATTTTTAAAGACTTTCCAGAAAAAAAAAGAAAAAATCACCAAGAACTATATAAGAGTATTCACTACGTTTTAGACTCTTAAACGCAACCAACTCCTCTTAAAGAAGCGTCAAAAATAATTTGTTTCAAATTTTAAATTTTGACATATAAGTTATGTGAAATATGAGAAGAAAAGTGATCTCACCTTGCCATGCCCAATATCCAATTTGTGCTATTTTCCACGCCACTTTTCCAGAAACTTCCAAAACTTCACTTGTCTGCTGCATATTATTCGGCTGTGGCCAGACCTTGCCTCAAGTTCGATTGGGTTTTTTCTTTCTAGGTTTTTTGAAAAAAAATTAAAAAATCATAAAAGCGCCATATCTCGAACAATATAAGGATTTGAGCAGTCATACTTGAACGCCAGATTTGCAACCCCTAAATGTACTTAACAGCACCCCACTATATAGGAATATATAGAACGTATGTATATATAAAATTTTGCAATTTTTCGGCCTTTTAACAGACCAACAGACTTAAACATGAGCCAAATGAAATTTCTTAAGCATTTTAACCTACGGTATAGCTTAAACGTGCAAAAATATTTTCATTAAATATGCAAAAATTAATACGTTGAAAAAACTGAAACATGCAAAAATAGGGACTTCTTTAACACGTCAACATAGGGACTTCTTAGACATGTGTCACGTGAAACGCCAATTAAATAATAGATAGATTAAAGAGCTGCGCTTTTTTGATAACATTATCCCAACTTGAGAAAATTGGATCAATAGATAAGTTTTTATTCCACTGGAATTCTGAAAATTAAATTCAACTTAACGAAATCGAATTAGTTCATATTTTTTGCGCCATTTTCACGTTCGTGTTTGGAGAGTGCTATTTAGGTAACTTTCAGCAGATGAATTCCAATTTAACCTAAAAAAGAATATATAACTAAGTGCATTCATAAACGCATTAAAATGTATGAATGCACATCTGTAGCTATTAGAGCATTTTAGATTTCTTCCAAAAAAATAACTACGACCTATATAAGAACATTCAATACGTTCATTACTCTTAAAAATTAGTTAGGATGAGTCTTAGCGCTCTAGGGGATAGCTTATGGCTTCCTTTAAAAGTTTCAAGTTTGTTTAGTTTAAATACGATTGAGCGTATCTAAATTAGACGAAAAACAAAAATTTGAAAACGCTTTTTCCCGACAAAAAGAAATTTTCGAGAAACATTAGAAATTAGCTCAGCTGAAAGTCAGAAATTACTTCATTGTGATGTACCACTCAACCATATTGAGCTGTTTATTGGTGTGGCTTGATTTTGAGAGGAAAAAAAGCCTGAATCTTCAGTTCCTTGTCACCTCCAGTGATCGGGGCAAAAATTCGGCTTGAATTACACTACGCTTCTTAATGCAACTATATCTCTTTTGCAAGAAAAATCAAGAAATAAAATCCATTTTAACTAATATAAAGTCACCAATCAGACAACATGGAAATCATAGAAATACTTTGACAAACAGTAAAAAAAATTAAAGTAGACGAATTTAGTAAGCCCATTCCGTGTCACAGAATCCTGCCTGAATTGGTCTAGCCGGTATGCCTCTTACAATCAATCTACAACGGAGCTCATTCATTCTCTCTTGAACGTCTCCTGATTTGGAGCTGGGTACCTTATCGGACCAAAGATTCTCGGCGGTACCGCCCGCGTCAGGCCACGCCCACTGCAAAAAATTCGTAGCATCTACAAATTCTGCCCAAAGACACGCCTGTCCGCCTATAACGCGACTTCGGACTTTCGAATCACCAAGCTGTTTGAACATTTCCACGTCATAATTGAGTCGCCACTTTTCACCCCTTGACATATTATCAAGGTACCAAGGATGCGATACGATTATACTGATGTTACTTGTCGAAATAGCTTGTTTAAGATAATGTTCGTCATTAACCCAGTGTTTCCAGACGTTGACTATTGAGTTTTGAGGCACTGTAGCTCCCATTTTTAGCAGGTCTTGCCAAAACATAGCTCGAATAGTTGTTGAGCCTGATACTCGACCAATAATACTCCGCAGCTCTTGAAAGAAATTAACAATACTTGGTGTGCTTCCAGGAATACAGTCATGGTAAAACTCGTCTCCTCCTAAATGGAAATTCTTATCTCTGAATACATTGCTGATTTCACCGATGAGCTTCTCCAAGACTTTGAACGTTTGGCTGTTTTCAATATCCAACAAGGGTCCCTTGCCTTCGTTGAACTTTTTCCTAGAGCATTGATTGAACATCTCTGGGTGTCCTTTGCTCCATGACCTCGTATGGGCAGGTATGTCCAGTTCTGGAATCACTCGGATACCTCGTAGCCTAGCTTCTTGTATCACTTCATTGATATCCTTCGCTGTATATACATGTGTATGTTGGTTATAAGCACCTTTTCTTGATAGTTCTGGATATACCTCACTAACATAAGGGAAACTGTGATCATCTGTCAAATGCCAGTGAAGAACATTCAATTTCACAGCCTCCATCGCATCTAACTGTTTCATAATGATCTGCATTGGAATGTAGTGTCTCGAAGTGTCTATCATGAATCCTCTGTACGAATACTTTGGCTTATCCACTACAGACCCCCTGTTTACAAGCAACCTGACATGCTGGGGATCTGGATAAATCAACTGACTCATAGTCTCTATAGCCCTTAGTGCACCCCACACTTGCGCACTACTGATCACAACTTCGGGAGCTGACACTGTAATCGAGTAGCTCTCGTCCATATTTTCATCAGGATACGCATCAGTGCATCCTTGAGCAACTTTGACTGAGATGCGCTCCACGACTGATTTGTATGCAGGTGTGTGATACTGGCCCACCGCCTCTGCTTCGATCCATCTGCGGTGTCTTGTGATGCTTTTTTCAATGATGTCACATCGATCTACAACACAGCTTAAAATTAGTTCGAGAATTTCGTAAATCATAATCAATTTTATGACTTAGATACTTCGCAGATTCGCAGGCTAAAAATTCGCGATTTTGGAATTCCCAAATAATGTCACTAACAAAAAAAAGTATGACAGCTATATTATTTCTTGTTAGGCAATACTAATTTGGTTTTGTAAATCATTTTCGATAGCTTCCGTGTGTTTTAATTCCGAGGAACATGTCAAATCGAGAATATGAATCGCTTAGGCATTTCCCTTTTTTAGATTAAGCTTGCCCGTGTGGTTAATACCTTTCAATTTAGTTACGAAGCCAGCAAACTGAGCCAGGAAACATTTTGGCCTCGGAGTATAGTACTTCCCTTTTTTTATTATGCGATTCTTCTTAATATCTCAATTTCTCTGGTATTTAATTTAAACATGGTCAACAGACAGTTGGAAAAGAGTCATGAATGCAAGGAAATAGAAAAAAAATATTGGCTTCTTTTTTGAAAAAAAATTCAAATTTCGAGTAACCAAAAAATATGGCTTTAAAGCTCTTTCAATTTCAAAAAAAAAATGTTATCGACGCTTTTTCGACAAAATTAGTCCAATTTGAGAAAACTGGAGATCAAGAGGTAAACTTTTTTTCGCTGATAAATTTGTTAATAAAAACTCCACTTTTGGAACAACACGTCGATCAAGTTTTTCGCGACCTTTACATTTTTTTGCTGTTCGAGAGTGGAGTTTGCCTTTTTTAATAAAGGAAATGAAGTGAACTCGAAAAGAAATCAATAGTCAAACCGCAAAAATTAAACAAATTTTTAAAGACTTTCCAGAAAAAAAAAAGAAAAAATCACCAAGAACTATATAAGAGTATTCACTACGTTTTAGACTCTTAAACGCAACCAACTCCTCTTAAAGAAGCGTCAAAAATAATTTGTTTCAAATTTTAAATTTTGACATATAAGTTATGTGAAATATGAGAAGAAAACTGATCTCACCTTGCCATGCCCAATATCCAATTTGTGCTATTTTCCACGCCACTTTTCCAGAAACTTCCAAAACTTCACTTGTCTGCTGCATATTATTCGGCTGTGGCCAGACCTTGCCTCTAGTTTGGGAAATTGCATTTGGTACATAACAAAGAATACTCTGCAAAACAAGAGAGATAATTACACTATGTAAAAGCCAGCTTTTCATTACGACTTAACGTTGATGAAAATGTTCAATATTAGTTAATACTGAAATTTTGTTAACTAAGTCCTGGTGTTTAATTGCAGCCAGCAGAGATTGAACCATCTTAAAATCAACCGTAAAATCACGCAGAGCATGCAGAATCCACACTATATTGAGAACTTACAAATTGTATAATGCATACGTGCAACAGCATGGTAAAAACAAATACATGATGAAAAAGCTACTACCACAGATGAAGTTTTTCAAAAACAGTACAACTGTATGAAAAACGATCGGATCATCATAATTAAATTGAATATCATCTAACCCGCAAAAATTGAACTTCCTGAAGGTGAACTTAATATCGTAGCACATTTCATAAGATCACCATCTGCAGCGCAGTTGATAAGTAAGCTTCAGCCAAAATCAAATATGTTGAAACTGCACAAAGAGCTATAGATGGCCTAGACAGAGATGGGCTCATTCATCTGTATAATGCAAAGCAACCTTTTTTTCCAAAAAAAAACAACGACCAGCGGAAAACATAATTCAGTAATTTTCTGGATGATATAGAACCAATCTTTAATATTGATTCTATAGAATCAATCTATAGAACCAATATTCAAATCTTTCAAGATAAATCTCGATCTTTTTCATCCCATTACCCATTCATATCAATTGCAGCGAACGAATCACCTTGAAAAGCTACACGTCGACATGTTCAAGGATTTGTGAACAAAAAGTAGTGCCCCTCGAGCATCTAACGTTACAACTATTTGATAAAACTCCTGGATGACCCTATTCACGGAAAGCTATTCGATTTGCTTTTGATGAAGTGGCTACGTCTCCGCAGTGCTGAAGTGGTTATGCCCCTGTCTCCCAATCGAAAGGTCCGTGCTCGTAGCTTGAGGGTGAGGCAACATTACCCAGCCCAGAAAAATATTCAAAATAATTGCCTATAGTTCTTATCAAATAGATTTGAAATGATTGTTTCATGGATGCTAGATCGGGTTATTCCTCTTGGGTAGCCCCAATTACCAAGGGATTTTACATTCCGACAGAAGACCATTCTCAATTTATTCAACTATCATTTCTGAACCTATCTTATTGATGACCCGAATTATTGGCGCCAGTTGTGTTTCAATAGCAATCGAATCCTTGCGATACTCCAAACGAAAAAGTTAAAAAAGACAATCTTGTCAATTCGTGGATTATTGCTAAGCCCCGAAGCAAAGAACACGCTCACGCGACTCCAGTATCTTCTTCAATACGGCAGCCTCCGTAAAGAAAAGAACCTGATAATTTGGCACGACGTTATGAGTAGTTCAATATCGCCCCATCGAAGCAACCATTATAGACCCTGCAGCACCCAGAGATTAATAAAAATTTTATCAAAATTGAAGAACTAAATTTCGGCTATTGTGTATTCACAGAGAAATACTGCCCCGATATCAAGAAGGAACTCCTAAAAACAGGTATCTTGATAGTTGAAGTCAAGAAGAACCTCATATCCAAAAGAAAACAGTCTTGTAGGTTTGTGTGTGTGTGTGTGTGTGTCACTGATTGAAAACCTCGGAGAAGTTCATCCATCGGCGAAATCGGAATTTTGCTATCTTACAACCGTTATCAGCCATCAAAGCTAACTCTGGCATTTGTCCAAGAAGAACCGATTGCATAACAAGAATAAGTTGTCAAAGAAAGAAAGAGATAGGAAAAAGTAAAGTTTGAGTCTCTTCTTAGCAGTTGTGCCTCCAGAGGTTTAATTATCTCGGAGGGGCTTCGGTTGGGATAAAAGATTATATTTGATAGTTCAGATCGAATTAGATTTTTCGAAACCAACTTTTGTAATAGAAATAGCGTCATTCTTTTTCAGTCATACCTTAAGAAAAAAAATTGCTTCACTTGCACGAAGAATATGGGAAGTGATTCAATGATTTTGTTGCTTCTCGTGCACCGAGTGATGCACTGGTCGGTGAAATGTACAGGTTTTGACTCAAAAACTCTTGAGGCTCTCAACTTTGTCAGAAAAAATCTCCTGATCTGCAATGAATGTGCAAAAAATGGATCAAAAGATCAATTGATGATACAAAAAAGTGAACCAGCAGTTGAGAAAAAATTGAAAAAATTATCAGAGCTTTTAATTCAAAAACCGAAGTTTTGCATCAAACAGTAAGTAAACAAGAGAGCATGAGCTCTTACTCACAGGTTCTAAAAAACCGGTTGTCCCCAATTCGATTTTCAGCTTCTATACAGCAAAGTTTGCTGGAATATCGGAATATCTGCTAAGCAACCCATTCGTAGGCTTCTGCAGGTCAAAAGTAAGCAATCTGTTTTATGAATGGGTTCAGTGCATCAAGGGAACGTTTTCGAGATTTGTACCTACACGAACACGTCATCGTAGAACAGCGTGCCTCAAAACCTCAGTTGATCACTTTAGAAAAAAAGTCTAAGATCCATCAAATTATAAACGGAAATAGAAAAAAAGTTAGTGCAGATTATGCAGACTACTTGGTCGTTCTTTCAGAAAACAAAATACTGAAGCATCATAGGGCTGTAAACAGAATGGAACTACCACTCACTGTTTTCGTGTTGCTCGTGATCACACAAAAAAAGGCCGAACTATTTGCAGACTTCTTCCATAGTGTATTTATCAGCAGCACTGATCCAGTTTTTAATTATTCAATATCACTGGAACTTCAATTGCAGAAAGTAGGATATCGTATATTCTTGAAAACCAGGATGTATCGAAAGCCATGGTCAAGATCAGATACGAGCAGTCGTCTTGAGAAAACTTGACATAGCCTTGCCCATTCAATGCACCAAGTTTTCTACAAAGTCCAGCAAATTTCTCCTCGCGCTTGGAATAAGGCTCATGTAATACCTGTCCACAAAAAGAAAAACAAAGAAAACATCGAAAACTAAAGACCAGTATCACTACTGTCCTTAACCTTAAAATTTCTTCAAAGGTGTATCTTTCTCGACCTCTATGAATTTCTACGAAGTGAACTGAATGAAGCCCAGCACGGATTCAGAAGTATCAATCTTGTGTGACTCAACTTCTGTGTTTTCTGGACGACATCTACAAAGGAATAGAAAATCAAAGTGATAAAAAGGTAATTTATACCGACTTTGAAAAAGCGTTCGATAAGGTCGACCACGGCGTTCTTTTGTCTCAGCTTTTCCGTCTTGGCGTGCACGACAAATTGTTGAAACTGATATCGTCATATTTAGAAAAGGGAACAGTTCGCGTCAAAATTAATGACATCCTGTCTAGTAGTCAGCAAACAATATCAAAAGAAGTGCCGCAGGGCTCGATTCTTGGTGGTTACATATCAGTATTTAGACAACCGCGTATTCAGACTCGTCAGTATTTAGACAAATACTGTTTCAACCAATCAGAATCGAGACAGAAGAAATTAATAAATAATTATTTTTTATTTTGGATTATTAATGTCTTTTCTCGATTCTGATTGGTTCATACAGTATTTATCTAATTACTGACGAGTCTGAATACGGGGTTGTCTAAATACAGGCTGCACTCTATTCTTGGTCCTCTCTTTTTGTTGCAGCGCGAAAGTAAATGCATATAACCGAAACGAAACTGTGAAACTATCAATGCATATAAACTAAACGTTACTTCGACGTCATAAGACCAGAAGGCCAAGCGGTCCAAGACGAAAGCTAGGCATTGTAGCTGACCGGTACGGCGTAGGTTCGAGCAACCCAGCTACCCATGTTATAACATACTAAAAAAAGGAGGCGATACCCTATTTTAACTGTTTTTCTCTCTAACACGGTTCAGACTTGATTAAGTCTGACCTCCAAAAACAGCGCAATTTGTCTCGAGTGCAAATACCACCGTTTTGAGAGCTTGTTTTGAATTTGCAGCTATAAATTGTTGATGTTATGAATGGTTCAAACTGCTCCGAATTATCTGTTAAACTGAACTATTTGCCGAGAAATAATTGTTGTTAAATCAAATGTTTCATTCCATTATTTTTATTTTTTTTTGAGATTTTGAGAGATTGGAGCGGGCACCCTACAAGGGACTGAGTGTATCCTTCAGGACCGAGTGTATCCTACCGAGTGTATCCTTCCGGAGTGTATCCTATTCGTCGGCGACTACCCCCAGTTAGTCGGTGACTCAAATTCGTCGGTGACTCAAATTTAAGCAATGCACTGGAAAACCTCAACTAAACACCAAAATTGATTCGCTGCATAAAGTTATATTTTAAATCAAAAACGAAAAAAGAAAAAAAAAAGAAAAAAGAACAGCTCCATAGTGAAGTCCTGTCTTTGACGCTAATGGTAGAATGAAGATGTTTGATTACCATTCTCTCTCTGACATCAAAAAAAATGAACTTCTCGAATTTGTCTTCAAACAACAATGTATCGGACAAAAGTCTATCCCTTGAAAATTTTGAGGCCTATGCGATCGATTTATACAATTTGAATTATAAGGCCAAACGGAATTTATTTCGCTTGTATATCTCTTTTGCGAAATGCTCCTAAAAGCAAAAACGTCTGATATAATTGCATTGGATCTTTGTTTTGGATATTTTTTTCATTGCTCTCGATTCTTTCAATTTTTTTGCCAAGTTGAAAACTTACATCGAAAGTGTGGATGGGGGTCATTTTCAGCTTTAAAAAAATTGAAAACAGCCAAAACTTTATGTGCACAGTGTTGGAATGGGTTGCTAGAATTTTATCTTTTTGCTCTAGTTAAATGGGTAGCTTTGATGAAGACGTTGGCCGAAAGTGTTGGGTGCAGTCGATGAGCCTTTAAGCCGACATCCGAAAAAGCAGACGCACAGGCCTTTTCAGGTATTCTGATTGTGATTTTTTGGTCGACGTGGAGCTGAGTTTTCGGATTTTTTCCCGGTGATCGCTCCGTCTTCAAAACTTGTCCGACAAATTTTTTAAAACTTGATGCTATCAAATTGAAAAAGATGTTCTATATTCTTTTCCGACTCAAAGCGAGCTCCGAGCTCTAAAAATTTCTCGATACCAAATATTTTGTTCTTAAACCAGAAAACTACTTTTTCTCGAAACTGAAATATGTGCAATTGATACGTAGACAAATTGATCTAGTTTTTTTCTCGATACCAAAATTTTTGACCAAAAATTTTGACTAAAATTTTCAGGGACTCAGGATCCTTGTGATCGGAACGGAACATACACAACGAACAAGTGAATAACTCGAACCCGCTGACTCAAAACTGCAAAAAAATTTGAGAAAAAATCTCAATTTTTGCCAAAAATATTCCAAAAAGTAACCCCAAAAATCAGTAAAACTTTGCTGTAGTTGATATCAAACCCGAGTTAGGAGGTCTGTTAGTGTGAAATTAGGCAAATTAAGCTAAGTTTTTTCAGGCTCAGATTTTTCCGTGTGTGTTGTGTGAATTCAACCGACTTGCCTGACTCGTCACCCTCTTGGTAACACCCCGTTCCTCTCATAAGTCTATCGATTAGGTGGTTTCGCTGTTATGTTAAGTGGTCTGGTAAGGTGATAATAAGTTGCATTTTATCAGCCTCAGTTTTTCCTTTGTGTGTTGTAGGACCTACTCAATCGACCTACTT